ATACACGGGGGCGTACTCGATCCTTCCACCTGGAACTATTCTCCCCCTCCTTCCCATCTGATTCTCTCTCTATCCAGCAGCCGTCCGCCGCACCGCACCGCACCGCCTCCTCTCTCCCCGTCCGCCGCCGTCTTCTTCTCCCCTCGTCTCCTCGCACGTCGCGGCCGCTCAGGTTACACACAGGTTCCAATCCCTCTCTTCTCGTCTGCCCTCGAGGATCCGGATCTAGCCCCCTCCTCCTCCTCCTCCCTCTTCTCCGCACAACCAGCGCGGCGGCGGATGTTTGATGAGAGCTATTGCTGACACTTTCCATCTTCTTTTCTTTTTTCATCAGGTGCCAAACCCCCCAAATCAGAAGCAGTGAGCCGCCGCCGATGCACGGATGCAGGCAACAGACAATTTCGGGGAACAGACATCGGGGCCTGTTCCTGCAACCAATTTCGAACAAGTATGTATAACCACCAATAAATTTGCCTGGGGAATTATTTGCCTGCATATCGCCGAAAATCTTGGACTGTATGAGCGTGCATCTATTCTAACCACAGGTGGAAATGAACTTTCACGAAATTGGTGCAGGTTGTGATGACCTATCCGGACCGGGCCCTAGAGCCGAGCCACTCGGGAGCAGGGCTGCGCATGGAAAAGGTATCGCTTGAATGCGTCTGCTTTACAGTGTGCATTCCTCCGTTGATGATTTACTATTACAAGAGAAATATGCACTTGTCAGAATCAAATGGCATTGCTCCTCGGCAACATTACTATATTACTACAAGCTCAGCATTTTGCTCTCACGCGTAACACATGTCAGTAAAATTGACGGGGAAGCAAATGGCATTTGCAAGTAACTGATTACGGCATTCTACGCCATTACTATATGTTCCTTCTGTGGTTGAGCTTCTGCTCAGCACATGTAGTTGATAACATTATGGGTTTCTTCTGGTGGTAGAAACCGGGGAGGACCTAGGCTTTGACACCTTTCCCTTAAAATACATCACTACTGTACTGACTATATTTTAGAATGCCCTCATGCCTGGTTTGACTAGGAAATAATTATTTACTTACACAGGAACACGTCGGCAAACAAGCAATCCCGGAAGGAGGTCTCCAGTCGATTGGTGAAATTAATCAGGTATGGAAACCAAGCACAAGTACTGCTCTGTCAAACAAGTGGAATTCAATATGGCATTACATTGTGGCTTAACAGAGATTGTTCTCTTGACTGCAGGGACATGCATCAAATGGTATTGGCACAACTGTGCAAGGACTGTTGGCAGATATGTTGCATAAACAAACCAACTCGGTGGACCCTACAGTGCAGCAAGCTGAAGAACAAGACCAATTACACGATGTCACAGAAGGGCATGAATTGTGTAGCAATGATACAAGCAGTGGAAGCGATGCAGGTAGCAGCTCTGGGAGCGAGTTGGATACTGAACTAGGAAAATGCTTTTACCCTAGTATCGAGGCATTGGAGAATTCAAGACCACCAGAAGTTGGAATGAAATTTCCTACCCTTGAAGATGCAGAACGTTTCTATAGCACACATGCTATGCTAACTGGTTTTGCAGCAAGGAGGGGAACTAATTACAAGAGAAGGAAGTTTCACCTACTATGCAACAGAAGTGGTAAATTAAAGCCAACTCAGGACCTGCAGAGGAAGAGGAAGGTTAATGTTTTGGGCTCACAGTGCCAAGCAAAGGTGATAGTGAAGCTCCATAATGAGCAATGGGAGTTCACAGGAGTTAAGCACGAGCACAACCATCCATTATGTCCATCCCCATCGCTCACGAGTTTCTTTTTGGATCATAAATACTTGTCAAGTGAAGAAAAGTTATTTCTAAGAGTTCTGCAACAAAGTAGGGTAAATCCAAGGAAAGCTATGAATATTTTCCAGAGAATGAGAAGCAACTTTGGAAATGTATCATCATCAAACGAGAAAGATATGAGCAATTCACAGTGTGTAGACCAATGGAGAAAAGAAAATTCAGATGTTGAAACCGCACTGAAGCGCTTCAAAGAACTGGAGCTGCGGAACCTAGGATTTTCCTACACCATGCAAAAAGATGAAGATAACATAGTTAGGAGTCTTTTCTGGACTGATGCAAGGTCGAAAGTAGATTATGAGATTTTTGGAGATTTCATAGCGTTTAGCACTACCTATAGCACTAATAGGCATAATATGCCTTTCACCCCTATCATTGGAGTGAATAATCATGGGCGAATCCTTGTGTTTGGATGTGCCTTGCTACAAGATCAGAAAGCTGAAACCTTCAAATGGATGTTCCAGACTTTCTTGCATGTGATGAGAGGGAAACTGCCAAAAACAATCATAATAGACCAGGATGAAGGTATGGTGAAAGCAGTTGCAGAGGTCATGCCACAAGTAAGACACAGGCTTTGCAAGTTCAGCGTGATGCGAAAAGCACGGGAAATCCTAGGGGCCTTCATGGCAGCAAGGGGCAACATGAATGCAGAGCTGCACAGCTTGGTAGACAACTCACTGACAGAAAAGGAATTTGAAGAGGGATGGGCTGTGCTCATTGAGAGATATGATGCAAGTGAAAACGAGTACCTCCGACTCATGTGGAAAACAAGGAAAAACTGGGAGCCTGTTTATTTCCAGGCAGATTTCTACCCATTCGTCGAGTCAGCTAAACATGGTGAGGGGTCAAACTTATTATTCAAAGACAATGTGCTTCCTAAGGACAGAATCGAGAAGTTTATCGAGCAATATGAGAGGATACAAGAGGGCATAGTAAAAACAGAGGAAGAGGACACATTGCAGTCAGCAACTGAACCAGCATACTTCTCCATGCAGCCAATAGAAAAGCATGCAGCGCGTATATACACAAGGCAAATATTTCTGAGAGTACAGAAAGAGCTATACTATTCTACGGCACTCAATGCACATGAGATACAAGCTGGAGCAGCGTATAGACTCGAAAAGGTCTTTGACTACGAGAACCCTGAGTTTGACAGAAACTCTTTTGAAGTGCTAGTTGAACCTGGCACCCACACATTCAAGTGCCAATGCGCAAAGTTTACCAGGGATGGGATTTTATGCTGCCACATATTCAGAGTTTTCACACAGCTTGGAGTCATCGAAATACCAGCGCAGTACATAGTGCCCAGATGGGCCCGTGAATTCAGAGAGGAACGGCTGAAAGAGTACGAGGAGAAATGCTCGAAGAGAACAGAAGACAGAAAGAGATGTGCGATGCTATTGGGTAAAATGGCCGACATCGGCAAGGGGATATGCGCGGACAGTGCGAAAAGCGGCTGCTTCATGCTCGAACTGGACAAGGTTCAAGAGAAGTTGGTGGGTGCCGATGATCAGATCGTATTGTGGAGCAAATGAGAGTTGGCGAGTTTGGTTCAGATGTCTTTATCCTGGGACGAAGTAGAATAGTTAGCATGTTCAGTTTAGCGTATGATAGAGGTAAGATTCCAGGAAAATGTAGGGTAGTCTTGTGTGAGACTTGATAGTGATGAGGATTGGATACCTCTGACCATCCAACATTTTTGCCTGCTATGTGTTTTCTTCTGTTCCTCCTCTTATATGACAGCACATTCTGTCGAGTTCAGGTCGTGTATCCTGATTGTGGCCATTATCGAGGAACTTGATAAAATGGCATTCTTTTCTTTGGCGCTTGACTCAGGAGCACACCTTTCCTTTGCTTAGATAAAATGGCACGTGTTTGGCTGGCAATTAGATCAAATGGCACATGTTTGAGTTTTCCCCTGCGTTTTGAGGTCTGGGCCCACACTTGTGTGAAATTGCCCCTCTTGTCAGCAATAGGGCCTACCATAAGGAAGTAAACAAAAAGTGTTTCTCTTGATTTGTGTAACAGTGTCCCTCTCCTTCTGAATGCATAATAGCATGGGTGTATTGCTCTGGAAACTTGCTATGGCAGCAGACTTCTCCAGCAAGGCTGCAGTGAAGGTTGCAAAGAAGATCGCTCTGAAGAAGAGGAAAAGAGTCTAAAATGCCATTGTGAAGCTTGGGATGATGACACTTTTGGTCTGAATTTGTGCTTTTCGATGTCATTGTGATGCGGTGGTGTACTTGTGGGAGGAGAGCTCCTATGTGTTTCTGGATGCAGCTAGTGAGATGAGGACCCAAACTTATGGTTGAAATGTAGCTGCTGCCTGTCGATATGGAAAATTCTTTTGGCTGATTGTTTGTTGATGTATGGACGTAAATCAAAATTTTGGCGGCATTTTCGCCAAAATGTTAGACATGTCCTGCACTCGTTTTGTACTACCATTTGAGCACGTGAAATGAAGACATTAATAGCCGCATATCAACCAAGATTTTGTCCACATTTTTTTGTTACATCCATATCATCAAGCAGCAGCTACAGCCAGAATTTTATCAAACAGCTGCAGAGAGGGAGCAGCAAGCCTGGAAGGCGTGTAATTTCAAATGCGGTGATGACTCCAGTATACTATATATTATAGGCCGTTCCCCTGTTGAATTGTGACGATTCGCATGTTGGTTCATATGTTTGCCCTGTAAACTTGATGCACACAGCTCCAAGATAAAAAAAAACAAATTCCAAACCCACGACAAGATGCCTTATAACAGTGCCAAAGCACATCTGGCACTGGAAAGACCTGAAAGCCTGTCACCATACAACAATCTCAAGAACACCTTGCAAAAAAGCGTAGAAATGTGCAGATATCTACCCAAATTCAACGACGCCTTACATCCCGGCGATTCGTCGGGAACCAACCGATACGACTCTAGGTAACTTCCGCATGGAAAATGAAAATCGCACCCATATTTACAAGTTTCACCAGGAATTTATCTGTCTGGCATCATCTCATCTGCATTTGTTCATGTCAGCAACACGTTTGCGTGCTAGTAACTGTTAGTATCACCAGATCCTCTTTGGTCCCCAACTGACTGGAAACAGAGTGCTCAGGGAAGTATTCAGCTACCGTCGGCGACATCTTCCAGCCTCTGCCCAAAGACATAACGGGCATCCCTGATAGAATCATGGAGTTTGGCGCACAACGCTTTGGCAAGATAGAAGCCGAGGCTGCCCAGCCACACGAAACGGTACACCGACGAGTTCATGGCGATGGAGTACCCGAATCTCGGGAAGACCCCCTTGGCAAGCACATAGGGAACACCCAGAGCAGCGATTAGCTTCGTGACGATAGGCACACACACATCTTGCAAGAACCACCACATTGGTGTGATCCCTGAATCCCAATCTGCCTTTGCCTGATTAAGCTTTGGGCCCCACCTTTCGTCGATGAAATAGGCTCGCAAGCATCTGGCCCTTGTCCGACGAGCCTTCAAGACAGAAACAAACCCAGAAATTAAATAATTTTCCTATTTTCAGACGATAACCTAATCAATAAAAATGTGAATGTGTTATTTTTGGTATTCCCTTTAGCAGTGGGATTTTCACAACCAGTACAATTTGTGTGCCATGTAGCAATATGCCAAGTTCGGTACATACGTGATAATAATATAGGCTAAGAGGTCAGAAAGTGACAAGTGAAGTTGGACTTGGAACTCACCTGCTTCCCCCAGATTTTCAGAGATAGACACCCCAGGCTCCAATAGTAGGAAAGGCCTACAACTGGAACGTCATCATCAAGCCCAGTGAATGGTGATATTAGTGATAGATCAACCAGCAGCCCGGTCAGGAAAGGAGCGATGACAAGCTGACAGCAGACATAAGTTATTCAGCTATAGCATAGTAGAAAATAAAATACGAAGGAAACCGCCTGAAGTAAATTGCTCACCCATAAGAACACAACCAGATAGCGATTCAGGACTAGAAGGTGTGTTCTCCCAGAAGTCATGTAGGCAAATGAATCTCTAGAGGCGGCAATGACAGTTGATATGGTGCCAAATCCAATAGCCAAAGCAAGCATGTCTAAGAGAAAATATCGACAAGTAAGCCAAAACAAGGTTAAAAAATATTTTCTTGTTTTTAAGCAAGTCCGACAATCCAAATGACCATCTCTGAACAATCATTACCATCGGATTTCAGTCCACCTGCTAGTGGCAGCCGAGTGATGGCATGCCCAATTGAGATTGGAAAAATGAGCACAGCCAAATTGAATATCACAATAGTCAACCATGCAAGCATCAGACTTAGGATTGTAGCAACTGCAACTGATCTCCTGGTACAATGTACAAGAAGGTAAGTATCCACTCAAAAGTTGTGCAAGCAACACCTCTTGGTTTGCAAACACTTCAATGCACTGAATTGTGAAAGTAATAAGTGAGCAGACAAGTACAGCCAACAAACAATGAGATTAGAGAAAAGATCATGCGGAGCGATTGGTAAAGGTCTGGAGATCAGGTATAGAGCATTTGCTGAATAATTGACGAGTACACACTACAAAGTGTCCCATAGGGAAGAATTGACTTGCCCCTAAGAACAGGATATTTACTTCCCTAACAAACCATATCCTTATCTTCCTATTTAAACCTATTTCTTTCCTAACGAAATGTATCTATTTCCACAGACCTAACTAGAATACTTACCATCATTGACTTAATTATTCATATTTTAATAGTTAATTGCTGCCACAAGGTGCTTTGCCATCACAGTTTCTTTTGACACTTCAGAACAAGATTGTTAGAGTACAACGATCCAACAATGCTTGTTTCTCACAGAGCCTTATTCACCTGATCCATAGTGCTAATATGGAAGTCATGTCAGACGCAAAACCTTCTTTGGAGCTGTTTGATATATATGTGATCAGCATGGTATGATTAATACATTAAAAAACACAAAGACTATCTTAAGCATCATGTGTCAAATGGCAAGGTGTCATCGCTTAATAATTACCACTATGCAGAGCACATCACATTCACCGGAATAGGTAAAATGAGCAAAGAAAACATATTTCAGAAGCCCAGAACTGCTTCCTATCCACCAACACGCAAGTTTGTAAATAAGCAGTGAACAATGAAATCATAAGAAGGTAAGAAATAGATAACATTAAAAAATGGAACTAGATGCGGCAAGCGAAAAATGATGTGCAGTGTGCAATTCCGTAAATGAACAAAACTACAGGGGTTTACCTTCCATCCTTAGCTTCACTGATCCTATCATACTGGTCTTCTGGTGCGACACTACTCCCAATATCATCATGTCCAGATGCACCAACGGGCCAGATACTCAACGAATCTGACAAGCCTAGAGCATGTCCAGTAGTGACAAAGGAATACCGGGTTACCTTCTTCACTAACCACTCAAGGTATACAAGTGTCTTAGTGTTATCAATGAGAAACGTCAGAAGAAGAGCATGAGAAACCGAATCGACATAGTTTCGTGACGCTTGCCAAAATGATATGCCCTTTGCACCACAATTGAAGTAGCTGCCAATCACAGACAGTAAAACAAAGTGTTAGTCTTCAAAATCAGGCAAATACACCAGATAACATAAATTTAGAATACTTACGTGATATGAAATGGGAACAACTCCGGCACCAATAGCCCGCCAATTTGAATAGGAACAACAATGACCAAAACCATAGAGATAATTCCAACAAAAAGAATATGAAGCTTCTTGAGATAAAATTTGTAGAATGGTTCGTGAGCTTCATAGTGGACAAAGGGAATGGCAATTCCTGGCCTCAGTACCTATTGACAACAAAATCAGCACCCATTATACCCTGAACTGTATACTGGACATACTATTGACAATTCCTGGTCACGGACATAACATGGTACATACCTTATCAATAAGTCTGAAGAATCTAAGGCCGAGGTGCCAAAACATGCATCCAAAATACCAATGAAGAACAGTTGAAGCAAAAGATGAAGCAAGCATAAGCTTGAACCTCTGAGACATTGTTGCACCAAACATTTCTGAAGTGCAGATATCAAGCGCCCAGCCAAAGAACACTGGGTGTAATATTTTTGCGCTCAGCAGATTAAGACAGAAATTGGCAGCAGGAATAGAGCGTACGACCCCTCTGAGAAATATACCAGGCAGCCTTAAAATAAATACTGCGCTTTGAGCAACAATCGAGGCGACAGAGGGGATAGAACCTACGACCCCTCTGAGAATTATACCAGGCAGCCTTAAAATGAAAACTGCAGTTTGAGCAACAATCGAGGCGACAGAGGGGCGGAGGGACAGCAGATAGTGCACTTGAGCAAAGGACCTGGCAAGTGCGAAGAGCCATGCCCCGAGGGTGATGAGGTACATGACAAGTGCTGGGACGAGGCAGATAAGGAGGAGCAACAGATCCATGAGTTTGTGGGAGAAACCCGCCATGAACTCAGAAACAGGCAGCCTCACAGGGGCGTCTGCAGCGTACACAGGTCGGATGGAGATGTCGTTGTTGCACAGCTGAAATGATACCATCAAACACATCAACATCACAAAGAAATCACATCAAAATGAACACGAAGATGAATTAATCGCAATCCTAACAAGAATATGACAAGAACTTGTTACATTGCAAAAGGGGGACATTTTCAGTGAGGAATCATGGCAATGGCAATGGCAATTGACAAGGGTCAGCACACAGAATCTCAAAGGGGGACATTTTCAGTAGTTGGGGTTGAAACTAGTTGTGCAAAGGGTGGGTCACTCACAGGCACACAGCAACATGATGAAGGGGATCATTGGTAGAGGATATGATGCTGACAACATATTTACACCACAACAGTATGGCAATGGCGCATCTCACATTGCAAAAGGGGACATTTTTGGTGAGGAATCATCATGGCAAAACATTTACCAAGCACGCACGCACGCAGCATCATATCACCTAGACATCTAGTGGCACACGGGACTGAAACTAGCAGCGAACGGGATGAGCCTGAACGGAGTAAAGCACGCGCAACCACAGCAACAGCACGAACTTGGCAACCATTCAGAGCGGGCACGGACGCCGAGAGAGGGAGAAACCCTAGGCGGGCGAGGGGAGATGACTGGGAGCGATACCTCGCATCGGGGTCGCTGGCGGGTGGCGAGCCAGCGGAGCTGGCAGTCGTCGTGGACGAACCTGATGCTGCCGCGGCAGGCGCAGGGGTGGCGCAGGGGGCGGCCCGCCTCGGCCGGGAGGCGGCAGATGCGGCATTGCGCCTCCTCCTCCCCGTCTTCGTCTCCGGGGCCGTCCGCCGCGGGGAGCGCCGTCTCCGGCGGAGAGGCGCCGGCGGCCATTGGCTGGCTTGGCACCCGCGAAGGAAGCTTTTTCCGTCGCCTCGAGCACGGCGACAGAGGCAGTGGGGGTTTAGGAGTTATACGGAGATACTATACTTCGGGCAGTGGTAACGAATCAGTATCACTATTTAATTTTTTTTCATGTCAGTACCATGTTTGAGGCTAAATGTTGTAAAAGAGTCTCAACATCATATTGATGATGTATCTGACCGTTGAGGCCCATCTGTCAGGGGCTGGTTGGCATGTTATTTTATGAAAAAAAAACTTGCTTTCTATTTAATCACCCATATGTCCTTGTCCGGCAAAAAAGGTCTTTTGTTCATGTAGGATACTGGCGCCTTATAACAACAATTAGTTGTTAAACGGGCTGCATGCCTTTTTACACTGCCAGGTTTTAAAAAGAGGCAAGAACACTAGAGATCCAGAAACTTGCATTGGATGTAATGGTTTAGTCCATAAACTCGCAAAAGGTGATTAACTAGTCCACAAATTTGCAAACTATGTGATGGTTTAGTCCATAAACTTGCAAAAGGTGATTAACTAGTCCACAAACTTGCAAACTATGTGATGGTTTAGTCCATAGCCAATCAGAGACGGACAATTGGCGCCCAGTTGGCTGCTGCGTGGCACACCTGGTTGGATCGACTCTTTTGCGAAAACCCCCTAAATGTTTCTGGAAATGATGCCCGCAGTCCCTATTTGGCCCTTCCTTGGTTATTTAATATTGTGGCCCCTCCTCCCACCTGGTCGGGAAATCACTTCGCCTCAGTTGCGGGAGCCGCAGGAGTGGCGACGGCTCCTGTTCCCCTGACGTCAGCGACGGCGCCGGCCATCGCGGCAGCCATGGAGCCACCAGAATCCGTCGGCTTCGTCCGCGAACCGGGCACATTTCCGCCGGATTATGGTAAGTCCCTCCCTCTTGCACCTCTTGTTTCCATCTGCTTTTTTGGCACTCATCGTGGTTGGTCGCCGGGATTGATCGGCACTATTACTCGTCGGGGTTGGTTGCCGGGGTAGATTAGAAGGTTGCTGCGGAGTGGGGTTGGAGGTTCGGTTCGGTTGCTAGGGTTTATGTTGTTGGAGCAGAGGAAAGTAGGGGTTTAGGGCTCTAAAGTTGATGTTTTCTATCATCAAGTTCAGTTATTTTGCTAGGAAAGATGTGGTATTAGGCCTGTACTGGTTGTAATGTTGAAGTTGATCCCAAACATGTTGATTCTGAAGATTGTGCCATAAAGTTGGGGGTTTGGGCCATAAAGTTGGGGTTTTGGGCCATAAAGTTGGGGTTTTGGGGTAGGATAGATGAAAATGTGTGGTTTTTGGGTAGGATAGATGAAAATGTGTGGTTTTTGGGTAGGAGAGATGAAAATGTGTGATTTTGGGGTAGGGTAGGTTTGGAATCTTTGTAGTTGATGTTACTATTCTAGATATTGTAGTGCTTTGAAAGTCTGAATAATGTTGACACTTCTGAATATTTTCATTGTCTGGATATTGCTGATCATGCTCTGAATTTGTTGTGCAGTGTGTGATGCAGCAATGGGCATACTTGTGGAATCTACATTCTTCACTTTGCAAATTTAGCATAATGACATTTTTTGTGGACCAAGTAGCAATCTGGAGTATGCAAGTGCTAGTGTGGAGATCCTGGACTATTGCTCTGTTGCTAATTTCTCATATTCATTTATTGAGAAGCATCTGCAATGGTTGAGCTATCCTGTGTGGGAGCACCACATCTATTGATGTAGGCATGGGTGCCTATTGTCAGAAGGGCTGGTGCCAATTAGAGGAGATGCTGATGTCCAGTAGATGATCACAGCAAGTGCAGTCCATAAGGTGCTGGAGATATTGATTGACCATTCAGACTTTATTTAGATTTGCAGGCATGATGTCATATATACAATGCCCAGCTCAGTGTCTAGATCATTGGTTGAAATACCTCTCTCAGAGCCAGCAACTAGTGGAAGTCAGCACATGGAAGTTTCAGTTCAAGCAGCCGGCACATCAAGTGCAAACATGCAAATTGCAGTTTCAAAGCAAGCAGAGACATTAGGAGAATTGACAGATTCAGACTTTAGTGATGGTGACTTCAACATTGATGAGGGAGATGATGATCTGTTTGATGAATACATTGATTTTGGTGTGGACGAAGAGGAGCAAGAAGAGATAGATGATGAGCCTGAATATGCACTTGAGGATGATGACCTTGATTTGTCAAGAGAAGAAGAAGATAACCTAAAATACAAGTTCAGTGCTTTCAATGCAAAGGTGGACATGAACTCTCCTATATTCAGAGTAGGCATGGTCTTTGCAGATGTCAAGCAACTGAGGCAAGCTCTGAATGCATATTCAATAAGGAATAGAGTTGAGATCAAGAAGATAAAGAATGAAAAAACCAGATTGGAGGCAGTGTGCAAGCCTGGTTGTCCATGGCTTCTTAAAGCTGGATTGGATAATAGGACATGAGACTTTGTGATAAAGATTTATGTTGTAGTCCACAAGTGTCAGAAGGCATGGGAGTTGAAAGCACTGGCAACCAATTTCCTTACAAAGTTTTTCATTGATGAATTCAGGGATGACCAAAAGATGGGCCTTGGCACATTTTCAAGGAAGGTTACAAAGGAGCTTCACATTACTGTCAACAAATGGAAGTTAGCTAGGGCTAGGAAACAAGCTCTGAAGATAATTCACGGGGATGATGATGAACAGTTTAGTAAGTTGTGGGACTATGGTCAGGAACTGAGGACATGTAACCCTGGCTCCACATTTCTTGTGTCTACTCATGTTGTGACAAATGAACAGTACCCAATGGGCAGAAAATGTTTGAAATCAGTGTATTGGTCTTATGATGCTTGCAAAAGAGGTTGGCTTCAGGGATGCATGCCTATTATATTTGTTGATGGGTGTCATATGAAGACAAAGTACAAAGGGGTGTTGCTGACTGCTGTTGGCATAGATCCTAATGACTGCATATTCCCTCTGGCCATGAGTTGGGTTGAAGTTGAGTGTACTAGTGCTTGGGAATGGTTTTTGACCACTCTTAGAGATGATCTTAATATCATAAACACTTCACGTTTCACAATCATGAGTGACAAGCAGAAGGGATTAATAAATGCAGTGTAAAAGTGTGGCCAGATGTAGAACACATGTTTTGTGTGAGGCACATTTATCAAAACTTCCATGAGAAGCACAAAGGAAAAGTGCTGAAACAAGACTTATGGGCCATAGCAAGATCTACTAACAAGCAGAAGTGGAGAGCAAATTGTCAGAAGATGGATGAACATAGTGCTGCAGCTTTTAATTGGACTGACAGATTGAATCCAAAGACATGGATGAAAGCATTCTTCAGTGAGTTTCCTAAATG